CCTAAAATAACCAAAACTGTCCTTCAGTGCAATATGTGATAAGTCTACCTAGATGTGTTCTGTGCTCCACTTTTTTCAACTGCAAAATGCCAATGATACAACATAGGTATTATACAGAAAATACAGCTTGTCCTAAAGCATTTCAAACTATCTCTCAGCACTCCTAGTTGTGGGGCTTTTTGGCCTGGGAACTCCCATCACTTCATAGCTGGGAACAAGCAATTCAGCTTTGCCCAGAACTGTAATTTTTCAAGAGCAAAAAGTACAAAATATTTTTTCATTGGTAGTCATTTTTATAAAGCACGAAACGTGAACTACACAAATATTTCTCAGTAAAGTCATCACTTTATTTCTCCCCAAATAAACACAGGCATCCATCTACCGCAGCCCAATAAATCTTAATTGGAGAACAAAGTCATGTTATAAGATGATGAATGAGAAAACTTGTCTAAATACTTCAGAAAGGATCTGATTAGGAAAGGATGGCAAAAGAACAACTTTGTTAATAATCTTGCCAGCCCAAAAGAGTATCAGGATTTTAGCTAAAAGAACAGGAGTACTTGTGGCACCTTAGAGACTAACAAATTTAGCTGCAGTTGTCCTAAGAAAAGATTAGAGCATGAGAAAAGGATGGGACTGTGGATGGTGATTTCAGAAAAAATAAAATAAAAACCACAATTCTAAAGTAGTACAAAAAGGCTCATATTACAATACCCCCTCAAACTGCCTTGGCCGAGGACATTCTAGGAATCTCTTTATCCTGATGATAAAATTATTTAAATGCATAGGGCATGATTCTTCTTTTACTTCTACTGCTGTAAATCTGGAGTAATTCCATGAACTTCAGTGGAGGCACTGCCAGGAGAACAGAATTTGGCCTGCAAGGGTTTAAATCCCTTGTCAGAATTAAAGGTGCCCTTTAGCCCAATTCTAGTTACATCAGCTTTTACATACCTTTTATTTCTGGATTCTTGAACTGTTACTGAATTCTTGCTTTCACTGAGTCAGGAGCAAAGCAAAAGAAATGGAATAAACCAGAAACGGTGAAACATGAGAATACTGGTTGCAGCCAAAGCAGGAAAGATCTTTTTACTGAAATGGAAAGTCCCCATCTCTGAATTATTTTCCAATAACCTTATTTGCCAGAGGTTATTTCTACAAGGATTGCTAGCTTGGAGAGAGGTAAAATAAAAACACCTAACTCAAGAGGACTGGAAAAGGACAAATGTAGTATCTATCTTTAAAAAGGGGAATAAAGAAGACCCGGGGAATTATAGACTTGTCATCCTAACTTCGATTCCTGAAAAGATACTGGAACAAATTATTAAACTATCAGTTTAGGTAAGCACCTAGAGGATAATAGGGTTATAAGGAATAGCCAGCATGGATCTATCAAAAACAAATCATGCCAAACCAAATTTCCTTCTTTGTCAATGGATAGGAGGGAACCAAAAGATGTGACACATCTTGATTTTAGAAAGGCTTTTGAAACATGACAGTCTCATAAGCAAACTAGGGAAATGTGGTCTAGATCAGAGGTTCTCAAACTGTGGTCCGCGAGCACCATAGGTGGTGTACAGATAGTTCCCTCTAAGATGCGCACCTGGGTGGCCGCACATGAGAGAATGAAGGGCTACCCATCTAATTAGTGGAGCTGCGCAGGCATGGCTTCACTAATTAGGTGCCTGGACCCTGGAGAAGATGCACATGTAAGGTGAGGTGGTGGCCTTGGGGGAAGTAGAGGGTAGGTGGGAGGGGGAAGTGGGGTGAGAAGAGGGGGTGGGGGAATTTGGGACATGTAGGGCTCTGGTGGCCAGAGAAAGAGGCGACTTTCCCCAGCTCCAGGGCTGCAGCTGCCAGGGAGAGAGAGAGCCCTCCTTCCCAGCCCCAGCTCGGGGGCTGCCACGGCCAGGGAGAGAGGGCACATCCCTTGCATTAGAAAAGTAAGACTACTGATATTAAAATGAGCTTTTATTTGTGGAACAAAAAAAGTTAATTATTATTATGTTTTTTTTTTATAGTGCTTTTATCCAAACGGTACAAACATTTGGAAAGCTCATTAAGTGGTCTGCCGAGACCCTCAGCAATTTTCAAGTGGTCCACGGAAAAAAAAAGTTTGAGAACCACTGGTCTAGATGAAATTACTGCAAGGTGGATCCACAACTGGTTGAAAGATCGTACTCAAAGAGTAGTTATCAATGGTTTGCTATCAAACTGGAAGGGTCAGTCCTGGGTCCAATACCATTCAATATTTTCATTAATGACTTGGCTAATGGAGTGGACAATATGCTTATCAAATTTTCAGAAGACACCAAGCTGGGCAGGGTTGCAAGCATTTTAGAGCGGTGGCTCTCAACCTTTCCAAACTACTGTATCCTTTTCAGGAGTCTGATTTGTCTGCGTACCCCCAAGTTTCACCTGACTTAAAAACTACTTGCTTACAAAATCAGACATAAAAATACAAAAGTATCCCAGCATACTGTTACTGAAAAATGGCTTCCTTTCTCATTTTTACCGTATAATTATAAAATAAATCAATTGGAATATAAATATTGTACTTACATTTCAGTGTATAGTATGTAGAGTAGTACAAACAAGTCATTGTCTATGAAAATTTAGTTTGTACTGACTTTGCAAGTGCTTTTTATGTAATCTGTTGTAAAACTAGCAATTATCTAGATGAGTTGATGTACCCCCTGGAAGACCTATGCGTATCCCCTGGTTGAGAACCACTGCTGTAGAGGACAGGATTAGAATTCAAAACAACCATGACAAATTGGTCTAAAATCAACAAGATGAAATTCAAAAAAAAAGATAAGTGCAAAATACTACACTTAAGAAGGAAAAAATCAACTGCATAATTTCAAAATGGGGAATACCTGGCTAGGCGGTACTATCACTGAAAAGGATCTGAGGGTTATAGTGGATCACAAATTGAATACGAGTCAACAATATGTTGTAGTTATGAAAAAGGCTAATATCACTCTGTATTAACAGGGAGTGTTATATGCAAGATATGGGAGGTAACTGTCCCTCCCTTCTTGGCACTGGTGCGGCCTCACACGGTTTGGGTGCCGCACTTCAGGAAAGATGTGGACAAATTGGAAAGAATCCAGAGGAGAACAAAAATGATAAAAGGTTTAGAAAACCTGACCTATGAGGAAAGGTTAAAAATCTGGGCATGTTTAGCTTTGAGAAAAGAAGACTAAAGGGAGAACCTGTTAACAGTCTTCAAATATATTAAGGGCTGTTATAAAGAGGATGGATGTTCGGGTGTTCTACATGTTCACTGACAGAAGGACAAGAAGTAATAGGCTTAATCCGTAAAGAAGATTTACGTTAGATATTAAAAACTTTGTATCTATAAGGGTAATTAAGCTCTGGAATACGCTTCCATGGAAGGTTCTGGAATCCACATCATTGGAAGTTTTTAAGAACTGGTTAGACAAACACCTGTCAGGGATGGGCTAGGTTTACTGGGTTCTGCTTCAGCACAGGGGGTTGGACTTGATGACTTCTCAAGATCCCTTTCAGCCCTACATTTCTAGGATTCCATTTCCAAGAAACAAGGGGACAGGAGAAAGACAAATGAAATCAAAGACTTATTTGATGTATTGGGTACAAGCACTCAAATATTAAGGTGATGAGTGTGGTATAAAGGCTTAGATAGATGGACTTATCTTACCTCTAACTAAAACAAATCAGTGACTCCGCTTTTAATTAAAAAGGTAGAGATGAATTAAAGTGCTGCTAGGGTGCAATTCACCTTTCTCTCACAAAGCCTGAGTAACCGGGCTTTGTGCCGAGAACGCCAAAGGTGGGGTGGAGGGAATGGAATTCAAACCTTCAACCCATGGGCAGCCTGTGGGGATGCAATGTAGCCTCTCCACAGCTACAACTCCAGCCCATGAGTTGGAAGAGGGGTGCAGCCCCTGGGCTCTTTTCAGGTTGTGGTTCCTTACTAATGGATCTGGATCTGATAAGTGCATACAACAGTGGATGTTGATATAGCCTTTAATGGGGATGCAATGTATACTCCCTTGCTCTAGCCAAGATCTGTTGGCTTGTGTGCATGTTTGTGTGTGTTGTTCACAGAGGCTAGGGTACTATAGCTGCTGTTGCTACTAGAATCTCCCAAATTTTAGTATGCTGGGAGTGCAAGGACTAAGGCGGGGCCTGGGCTCTGTGCAGTTGAGTGCTTTTTCACATCCCAACACTTGTGCCATCTCCTCTCTCTAGTACTTATGCACAGGGCTCGGCCCAATCTAGGAAATGACTAACGTACATATGTAATAAAAATTCCCAAGCCGGTTTAGAATATTGCTCCTCGTTTGAGTGTTAGCAGATTTCAGGGCCTTACAAGTCAGTCTCCTAGTGGAAGAGAAATCATTGTTATGGAGTCTGGGTATATTCTTAGTGCATTTTGTTTTATTTACACACTTGCAGCAGTCCTAGATCAAAGGTCATCACAAGTGGCACGCAGGCAAACCCTCTTTCAGAAATCTCAGCCCCAGCAGCAGAGACTGGTTATCAGAAAGCAACTGTACACCAAAAAATGCTCTCTCTAGTGAGAGAGATGAAGGCTCAGATCATATTCTCCTGGTGTTTGACCCAGCTTGCCCAAGAGCCTGCAATGCAAAACTAACAACACGACAGCATCTTTTCAAAGACTGAACAGTGCTCACCTATTCAGAAAAGAACTTGTAAAACTATGTGTATCATTGTCATATGGTGACTCCCACCAGAACAATGATGATGCACATTAGAGCACACAATCTTCAGCTCCTCCCTGTTTAGTTTAAATGTCAACCTGGCAGCCCTTCAACAAATGGAATTCCCCCTCTAGTCTGTAAGGGTTCTACATGCAGCATGGCTGCAGGACAAGAACAGTCATTGTTAACCACATCTCCAAACTGACCTCTGGCTGAAGTTTACATATCAGAGTTAGCAATAATAGGGACTGGAAAACAAAAATAGGGAGAAAAGGGAGAGCTTTCCAATCACAGTACAGTGAATAATCTCTATTATTTTAAGGATAAAAGTTTCACAGCAGCATTACCAATCTTCTTTGGGCCCAGTTCTGCCATCTTTAATCATGGTGAGTTGCACCTTACTTTGCACATAGTCCTGTTACTTTCAATAGGTCTGCTTTGTATAGTTAAATACCACTCAACCTGAATCCGGGTGGCAGATCTGGCCCTTTAAGGTTAAAGAAAATGAAAATAAAAGAGAAACCATCTTTGTTTGTTCTCCACTGTGTTCATGCATTAAAATGACTAGAACCCAATATTGCTCCTTTCCAGAACACCAATTCACCAACTTCTGAAAAAAATGTCATGCAATGAATGACTAAGAAGGAATGAGAGTTTCTTCATAATACAGTGCGAAGGGGAAATCCTGAATCATGTTTTGTTGTCGTTCTTTGTATTTGGAGTTCCTGGATGTCTAAAGAAATGAGAAGGTCACTATTACTGAAATTTCTGCAACAAAAGAGAATTTCTCAGACCATTTTTTAGAAAGTCCTTATTGAGGGCTATTTTCTCAAGCCATTGCCTACTTTATTGATGTGTCCAGCCCCACTGAGTTGTGTGTGAGGAAAGTGAATTGGTCCTTTATAACAATGATCTATATGGAGCAAAATGGACGATAGCTTTACAAACACTGGAAGTGTTTTATAAAAATAGCCTAATGTAAATGATGACAAATCCACAGTGAACTACTTTGCCCACCCAATGTAAACATCTTAACATTTATTTATTTATTTATTTTAGTGGGACTGCAGTTTAGAAAGCAATTTAAAAGGGGAGGTGCAAGTAGGCTTCAGAACATAGCACTTCACAGAGGGTCACTCGAGTACTTCTTCAAAGGCAGCTTTTGGGTAGTGCTCCCTAGGGAGCTGCTTCACCCGAGATAGACAGACATGAGAAAAGAAGGTTAAGGATTTTGAGAGGAAGGATTGCTTTAAATTTGTATGATATCAAAAAGGAACATTTTGCATTATGGTGCCAGAATCTCATCAGAAGCTCTGTGTTCTTGTTTTACAGAACAGAACTCTCATGGAATTATTAATATTTTCCTGGTATCTATTCTATATGCAGTTAATGGGGAATTCCAGATTACATCAGCACGAGCAACCCAAAGCACAGAGAAGATTTTAAAGCAAGCATTATGCATGGGCCTGCTAAACCCAGGGTTGTGAGTTCAATCCTTGAGGGAGCCACTTGGGGATCTGGGGCAAAATCAGTACTTGGTCCTGCTAGTGAAGGCAGGGGGCTGGACTCGATGACCTTTCAAGGTCCCTTCCAGTTCTAGGAGATGGGATATCTCCATATATTATATTATATTTTTGCTGTTTGCTTTCTGTTTGACAAAGAAATTTCTAAACAGAGATCCTCAGTTAGTGTAAATTGGCAACACAGTTCCATTGATTTCAGACAATTTGTTTGCTAAAGTGATTGGTGCTGAAATTGTTCACGATAGCAACATTTTAATTGTCATCATTAGGCTTCTGAATTAACATCACCTGGAAATGAGTGTGTATAATTCACATTTCAGAGCTACAGTTTCAGGCTGTGTGTGCCTACAGCAAGTGCACAGTACATAGGTTTATATCCCAAGGGTTTCTTAACAGCCATAAAGGTTAGAAATTTAATATTTTTCAGCAAATGAAAGCTTACATTCCACAGAAACAAATGGGAGCACCAGAGTACGACATACCACTGAGTAAAGGCTCATTCAACCACATATCAGCTCAGTCCAATCTGTAGTCAATTATCATAAAAAAGACAGGGTCAAATTCATAGATTCAAAGAGTTTAAGGCCAGAAAGGACCATTAGATCATCTAGTCAGACCTCCCGTATTTCATAGGCCATTACATTTCACCAGTTAGTCCTGTACTGAGCCCTATAACTTGTGTGTTCACTAAAGCATAACTTCCAGAAAGGCATCAGTCTTGAGCGGAAGGCGTCAAGAGATGGAGAACCAATCACTTCCCTTGGTAGTTGGTCCCAAAGGTTAAAAGTATTGTGCCTAATTTCAAATGTGAATATCCAGCTTCAGCTTCCAGCCATTGGTTCTTGTTATGCCTTCTTCTGCTAGACTGAAGAGCCCTTTAATATCTGGTATTTTCTCCCTGTGAAGGTAGTGAGACACTAATCAAGTCAACTGTCAATCTTCTTTTTGGTAAACTAACCAGCTTGAGCTCTTTAAGTCTCTCACTGTAAGGCACATTCTCTAGTCCTCAAATCATTTCTGTGACTTTTTCCTGCACCTTCTCCAACTTTACAACATCCAATTAAAACTATGGACCCCAGAACGGAATAAAGTATTCCAGTATCCATCTCACCAATGCCCTACAGAGACAAAAATTACCTCAACTCCTACTCTCTACTCCCGTTTATACAGCCAAGGATTGCATTGGCCCCTTATGCCACAGCATTGCACTGTGTCCAGTCAGTTGTTCCCAGTTGTCCATGTACCACCTCACTGCAGTTAATAGGATTGCGGACACACAACTGAGAGCAGAATTTGGCCCATTGAGAACAGAAGCTGAGTTGAGAACAGAAGCTGGCAGCACGCAGAAGGGAAGGCATGAGTGGGAGAGAATGCATGTGTGTGAGAGAGAGATAAGGTGGGTGAGGGAGGGAAGATATTAGACTAACTTCTGTTGGTGAGAGAGACGCTTTGGAGGCTTGTGTGTGTGTTGTCAGTTCAGCAGGTGCTAAAAGCTGCAGGGAGGTTTGGCGGTAGAGAGCTTTGGGGGCAGATGAAGGGGTTATGGGGGGCACCATGGAAAGGGGGGGTTACATTTTTACCTTTAAAATGCAGGCAGTGGCCCTTCTAAACGGGCAGCCTCGCTACCTGTGTTTCTCCAGTTCTCCTCCTCGCCATGCCGAAGAAGCCTTTCGGGGGCTCCATTAGGCAGCAGCAGGCGGAGACGTTTTGCAGTTACCTGTCCTAGCCTGCCCCTCACCCCGGCTGGCAGCCCGCCCTACACATCTGGACAGCGCTGATAGCCCACCCAGCCGGGCGATGCGCGCACAGGCAGGCGGGGGGCGGGCCACGCGGGCTGGATCCCTTTGTGTGCGCGGGCGGCGCCTACTACAGACAGCGCTGTCCTCAGCCCTGACCCTGCCCTTACCTAGCCCCAGCGCTAACCAGCCCGATCCAGGCTTTGTTCCCAGAGCGGGCTGAGACCCTGTCCTTAGTTAGCCCCACTCCGAGGCGCGCCCCCCATTACGGCCTCCGGATACTTTGCGCTCAGTCTGTTCCCCGCTTGCAGGAGGTGAACTGAGCTCCCACAATGCTGTCTGCTAAAAGGGAGGAGGAAGAGGGGCTCCCCGGTCGTTTCCTTGCAAGCCCGCCCCTCATTCAGGGAGGAGCCGCCGAGCGTACTGGGCTGCCGCTAACCGGACAGCAGGCGAGGTGTGCAGAGAGCCGGAAAAACTACGCCCGTTTGCCCTGCACATAGCCGCTCCCCTCCCGCAGCAGCACCTGCAGCGTGTCCTCCGGAGATCGCCGGCTGGGGACGGCGCCTCTCTCCCTCGGGCCCCTGCACCGGTCTCAGCGCCCTTGGCACAAGCTTGGCCCATCTGCTGCTGCAGCCGCCCTTCCAGCCGGGCACAGGCAGGGTGAGTATGATGCACTGCCCCGGCTCTGCCCCGCGGGCTGCTGCTCACCTTGCCGCGCGCTCCGGGGCCAGGCGGGGCTGGCGCTAATGCGGAGCAGCAATGGCTGTGCGGGCTCCACGCGGCTCTCTCCCAGCTGGTGTGTCCGCGTGCGGACCCCCCCGGGGGGGGGGGGGGAGGGGGGGTGCTGGCCTGCCCGCCCTGCTGCAGCAGGCATGTGGTGGCCTCCCGCTGCGGGAGCTGCTTTAATTCCCTCTCACAGGGGTGGGGATCCATTTTACACGGCAGCGTGGCGCATGATGCAATATTTATACTATGGCGAGAGGAAGTAGCGCCGACGGACTTAACCCCCCTTCTCCCCAAAAACACTCTTACAACGAGCTTCTGGGGAGCAAGATCCCTGCTCACTCCCCCACATCCAGACAGATCTACCCTGAAACGGCTGCGTCCCTCCCTGGGAACCTTCCCTTACATGGTGCTTTTGGTTGTAATGAGTCACCATTTATCGCCCTCTCCTCATTCTTGCCGAGCTAATGCCACGCAGTGATGCTTGTCACTGTCCCACCTCGCAGTGATGCCGTCCTGGCTTGCGGGGGGAGGGAGAGGAAGAGCGCAGGGCTGAATGAAAGTATTCTAGATAGAATCATAGGAATATCAGGGTTGGAAGGGACCTCAGGAGGTCTAACCCCCTGCTCAACGCAGGGCCGATCCCCAGGTAGATTTTTACCCCCGGTTCCCTAAGTGGCCCCTTCAAGGATTGAACTTGTAACCCTGGGTTTAGTAGGCCAATGCTCAAACCACTGAGCTATCCAGGTTTCAGAGTAGCAGCTGTGTTAGTCTGTATCCACAAAAAGAACAGGAGTACTTGTGGCACCTTAGAGACTAACAAATTTATTAGAGCATAAGCTTCCGTGGGCTACAGCCCACTTCTTCGTATGCTCTAATAAATGTGTTAGTCTCTAAGGTGCCACAAGTACTCCTGTTCTTTTTGAGCTATCCAGCTGCTTCTGGGAGGGAGATAGGTCAGGCCAGGCAGGGCTATCTTTAGCAGAGGTAATGGCGATCCCCACATTTATAGGCAACTAATCTCTCTTGATTAGAATAGAGAAAAACGTCCAAAGAATCTGCTCAAACCCATGTGCAAAGTCTAATAATGACTATAGTGATAGCTGTGGCTGATGTCTTTTTTTTTTTTTTTCCTATTTTGGGTAAGAGGTGAGGGGAAGCTGGAGTTGTAAATTTGATCAGGTTCCTTTGTGACTTTTTTCAATCAGTCACATTTTGTCGTTGTTAACCCCCGGTGCTAGCTGAGTGGTAGAGTAAAAGCTGTGAGTTACTGGAAAGGAGTGCCTGTGAGTACTTTCTAGTTGAATGCATGGAGAACTTTTTGCTTCTTTTTCTTTAGAGAGCTAGTTCTCTTTAGTTGCCTAACATCATTCAAGCATGATTGCAATGCCATGTTTCTTTTCTCTATCTATCAATTGCAAGGGAAGTTTGGAATTCAGCTATTTGTTGCTTTAATATTTAAAAGAACACCATCAACTTAAAAATCACACTGTCTGACATTTTTTATCTGCTGTTGTCACAAGTAACACCTGACATTACTATAACTGAACAAAGATTAGTGAAAATCATCTTTTTGTCTACTTAGCCAGATGCTGACACCATCACACATAAGAAGAAGTGGATAACCTTTTGTTTGTTGGTTTGAGATCTGGGTAACTATTTTGCATACATATTCTAGTCAGCTGTGTATTTGATCAGTAATTTGAGAAAAACACTGCTGCTTTGTGCTGCTTCAGTGGGACAAAACAGACTGGCTTTTCTAGTCCCTCGAGGATTTCCTTGCTTTGGGGAATCAGGTGGCATATAGCCATGGTAGTGGCACCTAAGGCTTTGTCTACACGGGAAAATGAATGACAAAACTTTTGTCATTCAGGGGTGTGGAGAAAACAAACAAACAAAAAACCAAAAAACAAAACACACTCCCCTGAACAACAAAAGTTTTGCCAACAAAAAGCACTGGTGTGAACAAAGCTTTGCAACAAAGCTACCGCTGCTCATTGGGGGTGGAAGATTTTTGTCTGCGGGAGAGCTCTTTCCTGCTGACAAACAGCAGCTACAGTGCACATCTTTTAGTGGCACGGCTGTAGTGTCACTAAAAGGTGTGTAGTGTAGACAAAGCCTAAGTCCGTACCTTCTTTCCCCAGCATAGCGGACATGACTGGGATAAAGTCATGGGGTATGTCTGTACTACCCGCCAGATCGGAGGGTAGCGATCAATCCAGCGGGGGTCAATTTATTGCGTCTAGTCTAGACGCGATAAATCGACCCCCAAACGCTCTCCTGTCGACTCTTGTACTCCACTGGCGCGAGAGGTGCAGGCGGAGTCGATGGGGGAGCGTCAGCAGTCAACTCACCGCGGTGAGTAAATCTAAGTATGTTGACTTCAGCTACATTATTCACGTAGCTGAAGTTGCTTAACTTAGATCGATCTTCCCCCAAGTGTAGACCAGGCCATGGAGTATATCTACACCCTGATGATTTCCACATACCAGAGTGGTCCTGTAGGAGGATCTGGGAGCTAGCCATCTTTGATTCTTCTCCTGGCTCCTCCTCCCCTCCTTCTTTTGCTCTGGGTACAGCTTGAATGGATTATAGCAGCTGGTCCTCTGTGTCCCAAGAAAAAGATATCAAAAGATCAATTGAAAACCTAGGCGTATTAATCATCTGTCTGAAATGTATGACAAATAGGGGCTCAGATACCGGGTAGTGAGTGTCGGATAAATACACAGATATAGATAGAACTTGATGTTAATAAAATGAAGTGTGTTTGGCAATTAAATAGAAATTCCTTCAAAGAGACCTATGTCTATAAAATAGACTTGTGTAGTAGTGTGTATAACTTCTGTTTATTTCACTCTGTTATAAAACATGAGAAATTGTGAGTAATATTGCCCCTATCTTGTTAATGTTTAACATAGTAGATTGTCTCCCAAGAGCTGGGGTAAAGCGGGAAATACAGGTATAATGCTCATTTTCAAATCTCATAAATATGGGATATAGGACAGGAAGTAACATTTTTGAGTCTGGGGAAGTTTTATTCCAAATGACACCTCCGCAATGTTACATTAACATTCTTACTAGGGTTGTCAAATGATTAAAAAATAATCACGCCATTAAACAATAATAGAATACCATTTATTTAAATAGCTTTGGATGTTTTCTGCATTTTCAAATATATTGATTTCATTTACAACACAGAATACAAAGTGTACAGAATGCAAATATTTGCACTGTAAAAAACAAGAAATAGTATATTTCAATTCACCTAATACAAGTACTGTAGTGCAATCTCTTCATAATGAGAGTTGAATTTACAAATGTAGAATTATATACAAAAAAAACCTGCATTCAAAAATAAAACAATGGAAAATTTTAGAACCTACAAGTTGTACTTCAGCCAATCGCTCAGACAAACAAGTTTGGTTACAATTTGCAGGAGATAATGCTGCCCAGGTCTTGTTTACAATGTCACCGGAAAGTGAGAACAGGTGTTCGCATGGCACTGTTGTAGCCGGCATCGCAAAATATTTACGTGGGGGAGCCTCCTCTCTCTGAGCATATTGTCTCCAGTGCAAGAAGCTTACACAGCTTCGACCTTCCTGGGTCTGACCTCGGAGCATTCAGCATCCCCTTCCACACCATGTGCTTTCTGCAGTGAGTCCACCCGGGTGGAGCTCCTGGGGAAGCCAGAGGGGTCCTACACCCCAACTCTGCAGTCAGACGTGACTCTCAACCATTGTAAAATGGAAGGTTTATTAGTCGACAGGAACATAGTGTAGAACAGAGCTTGTTAGCACAGAAATCAGTGACTTTCAGCCAAGTCCATCTTGGGAGTCCTGGGCCAGATGCCCTGGACTCCACCTCTTCCAGTCCCCCCACGCAGACAGCCCCCTGTTGCTCCTCCTCCTTCTCTTTGACTCTGCTTCCTAGGCAAAAGAAGTCACCTGGTCGCATCCCCCTCTTGGGTCTCAGGTTACATAGGTGCAAACAGCTGGGCAGCCTCACCTGCCCTGAGGGCCTCAGCAAAAAATCACACACCCAATTCCCACCACTGAAGTATTGGTGCAGTACACAGGGAAACTAAGGTACACACAGTATTGGTATAGGACAGCAAGACTCACATGTAACATAACAAGATGAATAAAACACTACTTTGCCACACTATTCTTAGAAATCTCACACTGGTACCTTCTTTGCGTTCTGTCAAATCTGCTGTGAAAGTGTTCTTAAAATGAACATGTGCTGGGTCATC